TTTTTCTCTCCAGCTTTGTTAAAACTTTAAATAGGTGGCATCACGCTCCCTTCTAATGCCTCGAAATGATACTGCAGCGTTAAACTGGTACAATTCATACAATCCTAAAGCACAAACATTGAGAAACGATGCATCATTTCTTAAATTCACATAAAAAAATGAAAAGGACTTTGCAACCGCTGTTTTTTAATTAAAAAACAAAAACCAAATAGCTTCTAGCTAAACCGTGAACACCACTGACAGTGACATATTGGATTTGCTGCAGGTATCAGCTTTCTGCAGGTGCATGAAAGACTAAAAGTCACACTTTATAATGTGCAATAAAACCACACGGCTGCATAACTATGTCACTTCATGTCCCGACACTTCATGTACATACGTTTTTAAAATCCATCTTTTGCACACTTGGTACTATTTATTTATCTTATTTTAATTTTTTATATTGTATATTTTGTTTTATATTTTATATGTGCCTTCGATGTCGGGTTGTCTGTGTTTTGTCTTTGAATGTAGCTGCTGCAACGAGTAGTTTGCTGTAAAAGGATCAATAAAGTATCTATCTATCTATCTATCTATCTATCTATCTATCTATCTATCTATCTATCTATCTATCTATCTAAACCAAAATGTTACTCTGGAGGGAGAAAAATTCTTCCACAAATGTCAAAATACCCATTTATTGGCTTGATCCCTAAAGCTAACAATCATAAAAATCAACCCCGACTCATGTACTTGTGTTCATGACAGAATATTGTTTTATAAGAATCTTCTGCTCATGCCGGACTCGGGGCTGGGGGGAGGTCCAGGTTTCACTCCGCTTTCACACGCAGGACTCGTCGACCGCAGACGAGCCATGAAAGAGGCGAACATTCGAGGGGCCCGAAATGAACACTGCCACTACTTTTGTTGATTTGGCATTCACACGGCTGGCCATTTTTTTTTTTTTTTTCGGGGAGGAAATTCAAGTGAAGCACTCCCATGTACTCGTGGAAGCACTGAAGGCAATTTCCCCTCTGTCAAGTGGCTGAAACCCTCTCCAGCTGAACAACTTCCTGCATTTAGACAGCACCCCCCACCGACAGCCCTGCTCCATCATCACCCTGCTTAGCTGGCATCAGTCACAACCTCCCAGCAGGTCCCCGCTCCCTCCAGAATAGTGACGAGGGAGCCGCGACAACAGCTTTGTTTGGGGATATAATCTGGAACTAAACAAAAAAAAAAAACGCTGCTGAAGCCCCCAAAATGCAGCTTTACGTTTAGATGCTCCACCGCGGTCTGCAGAGCTGCTACCTGCATCAAGATTTTCCGAATTTTTTTTCCCCCCTCTTCTTCCCGGTGATGATTATTTAGAGCTGACAAGTGTTGATTGGAGAGTCGATACGACTTTTGGGATGTCTGTTCAGAACCGTAACGAGTGTTAAATTATCTCTGATGAGTGCGCACTTCCAGATGCACCTACAAAGTGTTGATATTTATTCTCTGAGTGCAATTTGCAACTTTTGCTGTGAAGTATCTCGGCAAAGCGCACGGAATAATTAGGCAATCAAAAGATTATCGCCGTCTTAAGTGATGTAAAGTATATTTACCCCAAAAGTACATCTAGTTTGGTACTTTTATGTTTCGGTTTAATGTGGATGCTTTGCTTTTATTCAGCTATAATGGGGCGTTTGTACTTTTTTACTGCACTTCATTTATTGCTTATGTATCATCTGATGCTCCTACTGGTTTGCAGCGAATGAATTTTCTGAATGTGTAATTTGTGATCTGAGGTATCTGGTCAAGGATTTTCAGAGAGGTGAAGACAACACCCTGGTTGAATCCAGCTGGATCAGGATTATCTCGAGATACAGCGATAAAACGATGCATTTTTTGTTTTGCATGTTATCGGGGTCACACGTTCTGTCAGCGTGTCAAATCCACATAGCAGTTTTAGCCTTGGCCTATTATGGCCTCCGCAGCCCTGTGAGCGGGGCTGAGGGCTCCCACAGGGGACCAGGACATCCTGAGGGAGCCCATTAATCCATTATGTTCACCTCCAGAGCAGCGTTAAGGACAACAATCACACACGAGCTGGAGGCTCGAGCCACAGGAGGCTACAGCTGCTTTCAGGACGGACCCGGTGCAGCCCTGAGGGGCCGATCAGCACCATTCCCATGCCGGGCCTTGCTCGGTGGCCGCGTGGAGAGAGGTGCAGAGATAAGGTCAAGAGGATAATATATCGTCTCGTGTGATGATGATTCATTGACGGAAAGCGAGAAATTGTGCCGTACTACAGAAAAGGCTGCGGATGGAATTTTTTCCGAACATGGGGGTCATTTTCAGTTTGCGTTAAACTTGATCGTGTCGTGAATAAATAAACGACATAACGACAAACTAGCGGTAAATTACAAACTGAAGGTATCCCAGCAAATCACTTCCACGCCTCTTTTTAACGGAAACTTAAAGTACTACACGGTGACAAGTTTGTAAAACATCCAGATCCAGCAGAATGAAGACGATACGCCCTCTGTGTCCTCAAACTGTAATCAGAACATCTTCTCGCACTTTTCCATTGTTTTAACGTCGCGCCGAACACAATGAGGACTTCGTTTTCAACTCCATTATGTATAGTAAACATTACAAAGCTCTATTCAGAATTATAATTTATGTTAAACTCAGAGACAATTTCTCACGCAGCCTCTAATTAGATGTTGCTATGCAGTTATTATAGCAGCTCGCTAAACGATATATTTTAAGCAATAGGAATTAAAACAATTACCATGATGATATTTTCTAATATAATAACAGCTTTGGCACACATGCTTGACAACTACAAAAGGTTTAAACTTTTTTTTTTTATCCGTTGTCTTTAACATATTGCAGGTATGATGCCAAACAAGCACATCTCTGGAAGACGTATTAGACAATAGAATAATTACCATAATCGTGATTATTTTTCTTTCTCTTTTTTTTTTTTCTTGCATTTTAATTAGCTCTATGAAGCTCAATTAAGCTCTTCAGTACGAGCGCCTATTCAGTAAACAGCTGTCCACCTGTCTTCTGGTTCCTGGGAAAAGGCTGCGGCGCCTGTTCACGTCGAGGTACCATCACCAGACCGGGTGGGGGGTTCAGACAAGGCCCCTGCAGCCTGCAGAGGGGCCCTGGTATAAGGGGCGATTAATGCCTCACAGCGGCAGGCCAACAGGGACGACATCAAGGTATGCAAATAGCTGGCTTATCCGAGGTGAAACTTACACAGATGCTATCATTGAAACAGAGTGAAGTAAAATAGTTTGTGGTGAGAAATTTAAAAGTTAGATGCAATAGATAGAATATTCTTTGTTTGAAAAGAGAGAAAAAGATCCATCTAAACACAACATGAATGACACTATCCTCAATAATCCACTCTTACATTTTGTTATCTAGTAAAGATGGGAGACGGCATCAGTTGTTGCCCCAAATGATATATGCTTACACACTAGTGCCACCTAGCAGACTAATAAGTTGTTATAGTGGAGCTCAGGGTGGATGGACGGGTTTACGAAACACCGGACTGCACCACAGGAGGCTGCTGATTGGTTCCCGTTCTATACAGTCAGTTTTAAACCTTGTCTGTTATTATTACGATACCATATTCCTCATTTTAATGAAGCCTTTGTTTAACCCACCAGCTTCCATATTTCCTCAGCCTCTAACCAAACCTTTACTGGAGCACTGTCACATCATAAGAGTGCATTTTCCAAACAGCCATTTTTTCCTCTTTATTTGTTCTATATCACTATATATAACCTACATGGTGGTTCAGGTTAAAGAAGTTGAATATGTGTGACATTTTCAGACATTAATTGATTCCTACAAGCTGTGGAGAGCTGGTGTTGAACTAAATTTCTGAATTTTGTGGCGTGAGTTCTGTCCTTCAAGTGGTAGCTTTAAATGAAGGTCGTGGGAGTTTACTGAAGTTCTGCTTCACTAATAGAGCAAGTTGCCATTTCTCCTTTATTATAATAGTTGCTTTATTACTACATCATGACATACAGTTTCTGTTTTACGTTCATATAGGGTATGAACTGAACTTTTTTGTGTACTCTAATATTTTTGATTAACTCATTCATAAAGGAGAGTGTCTGTTTTCCAAGTGTCACCATTAGCATCGTATTCATGTATTCATAGTGCAAATTAAAGACATCTTGTGAATATATTTCATGACTTTTTTTTCTTGATATTTTTGCTTCCGTTATTAGAGATAAATGCACTTGTGGTTTTTCCAGGATTCTTTCTTTGGTGCATCTGTATCATGAGAAGACTTTAGTTCGGTAAACCATTGAAACACCAGGAATATTTTTGTAAATGTGCTGATAATCATGAAACAAGATTTGAATTTAGATAGATGACATTGTGGATAATCCTCCTCACTGGACAGTTTTTCTCTGATCACCGAGAACCAGCAACAGTCAAAGGAACAAGTTATTTCAGTTTGCCAGATCATGCTGTATCATAATGTATACACCCAGAGTGAACCCTGTTGAGTCTGAGCATCCGCCAGCATATGCAAAGAACGCACAAGTGGGTTGTTTTTTTTTGATACTGCTTCCTTAGTGGCATTAATCACCTCTCATACACAGGCCCCCGAAGAGACCACATCTTACAAGGACACCCGCTTTCTTCGGCTGTTTCATCCTCAAAAGTAAAACTGTGTAAATTACTCAGCCAGAGACAAACCCCATCTGGATTGGAAGCGTTAACCCCTTCTGCCGTGATTGCTACACAGTCATTAAGCCTTCAAGAAAATAGGACTAATGATGACTGGCCTTCATCATAACAAGCGGAGACTTGATTGCACAGCCACTTGCCTCCATCCCACATTTTTTTCTTATAAAATTACTGAATCTTATAATAGTCTGAATAGCACCAGACTTCTGTATATGTGTGATTCTGACAGTGAATTATGGTGATTACTGCGTTTCACCCTTGATTATAAGGCAACACGTACATTTGATGTTAAGTAATAAATGAGACACAACAAACTTTAGAACTGTTTATTTTGCCAAAAAAAAAAAAAATCTGATATTGTGTTTCAAAATAATGTTACATAACATGGTTTCAAACATTTGATGCAGCTATCGGCCAATCTAAAAAAAAAAAAAATCTATTGAGGTTTGCTTAAAGGTCCGACATACAAATATATAAAGGTACATAACTAACACAGCATTTCACTTCTAGCTAATCACATACAGCTTAATATGAAAAATAAAATTTGCAGAAAATCCCAAACCTAAACTAAAATTCATATGCATTGTTTCGCATGAAATTCTTTATTTGAAATAAAGAAAATAGATTAAACAAACTATACGTTTACTATAAAAATGGAACCTATTCTTTAAATTCTGGTTCCCGCTCAGGCCTTTTTTTTTTTTTTCTTGCTCATTAAATGCAGATTTCTGTCCTCAGAGATTTGTCTTTGGTTTGAACTGGCTGTTTCAATGAAGCTCTGTATCCATGTCTTGGCCTGGTTTAAGGGGGACAGTTAGAAAAACATCTTCCAGCAAATAGACACATCATTTCCCAGTGCAGCCTTTTCACAGGCCTGCAGCACCGAGTCATGCGGCTCCAGATCGACCTCTAGTGGTCGGAGCTGTCCATAAGCATTAATGTTTGGAGAGTTTTAAAAAAAAAGAAGAAAAAAATTCGAGTTTACAGTTTGGCAGTTGACATGAGCACAATATGGGTACACTTTGATTTTTTTTTGTCTTTAGAAACTACAGGGTGTCAAGTGCTGGGATGTTAAAACCTCAGAGTGTGTGTGTGTGTGTGTGTGTGATTCTGTCTTTCGGTGTGTGCGTCTAACAGTTGAGCTTCTCGGCCTCTTCCGTCCTCACGTCGGTCATCTGGTCCTCGTGACTCTCCTCCTCTCCGGGCACCTGAGACAGAAAAGACAGGAGGAGATAATTGAGTTTGTAGACTTTTATGACCTCATCTGGTCTCTAACATCCTCTCATTTTCCAGACTAAATCCGGCGTAACTGTCGTGTTTCCAGGTGCACGTTAGCAACAGCTTTCTGGTTGTTGTGGTGCTGTGTCTGTAAATGTCTCTCTGAAGTGCTGTATGCACTACGCTTTTGTCTTTTGTTTCTGATTTTTATTTAAAACTTTAAAATGAATACAGATGATATTAAGGGTGGAAAACTGAATTGTCTGATGTTATTTATGCAAGAAGAAGAAAAAGGAATCCATCAGATATACCAAAGACGAATTGTAGAAATGAAATAAAATGAAATCATTGCAAAAGATTTGGAAAATATTGGCTCTGTGCACTTAGACGTACATTTATTTTCAGTCTCTTAAGCTGGAGGTCATACTCTATGGATTTAGGAATAAAATTCAAAGGACAATTTAATTAGAATATCAATTTAGTGTTTTTATATGAAAAGAAAATGTCAATTTTTTGTAAAACTGTCATATATCAGAAGAAAAGTGGACACTATCTACATTTATTTCTATAGAATGCAAACAGTCTATCGTATGTACACCTCAATATGTACGTAAACATAAAAACCAAAAGACTGATGAGCGACATGTTGTACAATCCGCTGGTGGGAAATCGAAATGACGTCAGCCCATAGTGAAAAGGCCTGACATCATCCAGGAGGGATCCTGTTCCTGTAAACCACCTGGTTGATGACACTGTGAGGTGGCGGATTTGCGCCACCTGGTGGTCAAATAGCACCACTGCCTCATCTGACAGAGATCAGCAGCGGCAGAGTCACGGACATCTGATTGTTGGGGCAATGTCACCATCTTGTGGCTTTAAAATTAAATGCTGCACACTTTCACACCACGAAAGGCTGATGGGGACATAGATTCATGTTTGTGCTCTTTCTTCGAGCTTTAAATGGTGTAATTTGATGCCATGTATAACTATACTTCACATGTCTAAAGTCTATCAAACGGAAACTGATTAGGAAATGAGTGATAAACTATTAGAGAAATACAGTCCGAAGATGTAAACTGTGATCAGCATTTATGTTAAGGATCCCTAATTATATAATAATCTCCTGGAAATCTTTTTCATGTCCTTTGGTGCCAGTCATAATAAAGTCAAGCTCTTTCCTGAAGAAACTAATCCATCTCACCTCCCAGTAGATGCTGTCCTCAAAGCAGATGGTGTCAGGAGGCTGGCCGAAGATGGGCAGCTTCAAAATGAAACCTAAACACAAGATAGGGGATTGTTTGTATCGAGCAAATGAATATCACATGGGAAATTAGGCCAGTATTACTTGCATTAATGAAAGTACATATCTGCCCGTTAGTGTTTTATTGGAAAAGAAAAAAAGCTTCCAAGTTGTCCATCCATTATCTCTATACCGCTTAATCCTCACTAGGGTCATGGGGGGCTGGAGTCTATCCCGGCTGACTCAGGGTGAAGGCAGGTTCACCTGGACAGGTCACCAGTCTATCACAGGGCTACACTTAGAGACAGACAACCAAGCACACTCACATTCACACCTACGGACAATTTAGAATCACCAATTAACCTCAACATGTTTTTGGACTGTGTGGGAGGAAGCCGGAGAACCCGGAGAGAACCCACGGGGACTTCCTAGTTGTTGTTTCAATTAGTTGACGTGCTTCACTTGAAAATACATTTACTAAGATGCTGCTTAAACATATTCCAATAAACTAACTTTTTGGACTTTTAGGCCTGCAAGTCACCAAATCAGTGAAATGCAACTCCAGTTTGTGTACTCGTCCTGCTTAGAAGAGTTGTGATTCATCAGAATAATTAAGACGAGATGCACTGCTTACCAACAATAGCTCCTCCCAGCAGGGCGATGCCCAGAGTGACAGCAAGGGAAATGGCCTGAATGCCACCTTGGTAAGATGCTTCTTTTCCATCTGCTATCATAGGGAACACGTCTTCCAGACTGAAACACACACAAAGGGACAACAGAGTCAACTCAGCTCACATTTAATGCAACTGTTCCAACTACACTTCAGAAGTATGTGGACACGGTTGACGGGATTATACAGTATAGCACAGAGTCTTTTCCAGGTACCTACATGCTGTTTTTGAGCTAAATGAGAAACTAAAAACACACACCCGCACTCAGATATTATCTCATTCAAACTGCTTATAAAAGAAAAATGTGGACATTCAGGACAAACCCCTTTTGGTTATTTCGTCTCAAGTTAAGGCTTGTTAGAGTTTCTTACTTTTACTCATGATACTTGTTGGCAAACTCTCCTTATGGTGTGTAGTTTACAAAGTGGGTGACCACAGATCTGACTTGAGGAAAATGTGTCACATCAGATGAAAGCACAAACTGTTTACCCGTCGCCATAAACGTCTTTGGTTGCCACAGCAGCGGTGACTGCTCCAACAATAGCACCCAGAATGCCAGGCATGCCGTGCAGGTTGTGAACGCCACAGGTGTCTTGGATCTTCAGCTTGTCCTCCAGGATGGGCTGATGTGGGGGAAGAGAAGACTCATTATGTGGCAAAGGAAGGGTGAAAGTGGACATCAAATCCCACACAACACACGTTTAACTGTATCCTCTATGTTTTCTGAATGTAAAACCGGGACAGTGATTTGCATGTTGTGTTAGGTTTACGATACCGGTGCTATAAAATATCCCAGATCCATTCATACAAACTAGATTTGCAGGTGCACTGAAATGTTTGTGTATAAAAAAAACATTTTTAGCTGAATGTGCATTCTTTAGAGGCCGACTTTTGCCATTCTCCCCTCACAGCTCTGCCTTTCACGTGCATCATATCTCTTCTTACTTAGCTAATAAACATAAAATGCTGAATCATGCTTACTGAGAGGTACTTGAAGCCCAGAACGGAGATGATGCCGGCCAGGAAACCGACAATCATGGAGCCGTAAGGCGTCAGCATCATTTCACCAGCTGTTCCTGCTGCGACTCCACCGGCCAGGGCGGCGTTTTGAATGTGCACCTAAAACACAGACAATAAGCGTTGGTACTCTTAATACTGCATCTGTAAAGTACATATTGATGCTGCAACTACTGCTCTGCATGGCGCCTGAACGCTACAGTGTGTGATTTATTTTCAAAAACCTCGGAGCCAACATTCCTCCGCCTGTCTGTCACTTTTAAACAAAGGGTTACTGTTGAGCTTCTACGAGTACTAGTGAGAACATTTCTGGTTTTCAGGAGAGAGTTTTTAAATGTGGCTACCTGTGAGCAGAACCGATTTCACAGGTACATTAAGGGACTGGAAGTCATTATTTCTAAAAATCCTGCTAACAGCTGACTCAGCCGGCTGACTCAGCAGTTCAAAAGCTACGAAACGCCAACAATTAGAAACAAACTCGATGACCGACACTTGAGGCTTGAAGCAGACACCGAATAAACACACAGAACATTTATCAGTTTATGGTTTTGTCACTTTAAAATCGGCACATAAGCTTCCTGTGCATACAGCTGAATTACAGGCCGACTTTATGATGAATCTGATGCACATAAATTAAAGGTAATCAGGTTCGGTCATAAACACAACAAACATGCAAACGTATGAACATAAGTGTCTCATTTTTAAAGAAAAGCATCTTTTGTAAGCGTTTAATTCTATTTTGTAGATTTTGAAGAATCTATTAAAGATTAATTTGAGCAAACAAACATCTATTTTGTGATCAAAAACTCTGTTTGTGGCGCCCCTGTAGCTCTCCTAGTTGAGCGGGCGACCCATGAACAGGCGTTGTTGTCCCTGATGCAACGGTCGTGGGTTCGACTCCTGCTCATGACCCTTTGCTGCAGGTCTCTCCCTCTTTCCTGTCTCTCTCTATCGCTCTAAATAAAGGCAAAAGCCCAAAATATTTATTTTAAAAACTCTGTCAGTGTGTGTTCACTGTTTTCCATGTTAACGTCTGTGCTGTTTTATTCTCAAATTCTATTTTTTGCTTCACTTGAATTGCTGCAGGAAGTTTATCATATCTAGAAAAATATCTGTTTGTTTTTCGTGTGGGGTAGTAACTTAGTAGCTTGCAAAGCTGTCCCACTGTGCCCTCTTTTCCTGGAAAGTTTGCACAAAATCCTGGCTGTATTTTCCAGCCTGTGGCGACTAAGTGCCTGAACAATAAGGAAATAAAGGTGCGCACAGCTGCAGGGGGGAGCGACTTGAAAAATGCACGTACGTAACAGATGAGACGCTCTGATTTGCGACATGCTGCAGCCTCGTTCACACCACGTGGCTGCAAACAGGTGGAACGTATCAGAGACGAGCCGATTCCTTCAGGTGATTAGCTTGTCTTCACTATCAACAGGCTACACTGTTCACAGTCACTGAATATATTTCCCTCCCGAGCTTTTGATTCCTATCAGCGCAGGGACGTCACTTCTTGATTTCAAGTTGATTTACTGTCGACAGATGAGCCCGACAGCGAGGGTTCATGTGACTTTGAATTTTTTCGGGGGTGTGAACCTTCGTGTGATTTATTCATCAGCTCTTGAGAAACTCTGTCATGTGTTTTGATGGCTGATAAGCTGAGATCCACCCTGCTGACACTAAATCAAGATGTTACGAAAACCTTCCGAGTTTTTTCAGTCCTCTGTCTTTATTTCAGCACCTTTACCTTTTGCTAGACTAACTAGGGCGACCATATTTTATCTTTTTGAAAACCAGGACACTCGTTCTGGCAACGAGACACTCAAATGATACTCAAAGTTTACTGAAAGATGCCTTAAAATTTCAATGCATTTAAAACATGCCTCCTCCAGGACGGGACCAGGACATTTTCATCGGTTTATAAAAAACAATCAGGACGGCCGGGTGAAAACGGGACGTGTTCTGGGAAAATAGGACATTTAGTCACACTGAACAACCATCATGTTTGACTGCGGTGGTGAATCCCAGAAGATTCTTATTTTTTGATTCTGGAAACCACCATTTAGTTCAGGAATCCTGTGTTCTCACCATGTCCAGCTTGCCATCGTGAGCTGTGAGGGAGGACATGGCGTAAGTGGACAGAGTGCAGGCTGCCAGGGAGTAGTAGGTGTTCAGGGCCGTGCGGTGCTGGTCGTCTCCGTGAGCGGTGATGGCCGAGTTGAAGCTGGGCCAGAACATCCACAGGTAGATGGTACCTATGTGTAGTAGAGACAACATTTCAGTGGTTTACTCCTGCAAATGCTGTTAGTGACAGCACTGCAAAATAGCCCCAATACTGGAAATGCTCATGTTTAACTCCCAGTTTTGACACCAGGAATGAAACCACAGAACGAGAGAAGGCTAAGACGCACGCTGTAGTATACGACTGTGTATTTTATGGTGGGTGTCTACCAGATGTTTGATGTTGACAGAGAATGTGGTAAGAGATATTTACCGATCATGGCAAACATGTCAGAGTGGTAGACTGAGCTGTTCCTGTGTTTGCTCTTGTCCAGGTTGGGCCGGTACAAGACTCGAGTCACCATCAGGCCGAAGTAGGCTCCAAATGTGTGGATGGTCATGGAGCCTCCAGCGTCCTTGGTCTGGAACAAAGTTAATCCACAATTTGGTTTTTAAAACTTTGTTAAGCACAGAACTAGAGATGATGAAGATAGTTGCAAATACAGGCAGAGAAAGAAGAGTTTGAAGAAGAATTTCTTGACAGTCACAATGAGATTTTTATGAATCTCTTCATACAGTAACTCACCCCCAGAACAGACAGCAGGATGAACTCATTGACGGCAAACAGTGTGACCTCGAACAGCGCCATGATGAGCAGCTGAACGGGGCTGGTTTTACCCAGAACAGCTCCAAATGAGATCAGAACAGAGCCGGTGCAGAAATCAGCGTTGATCATGCTGAAAGACGAGTCGAAGAGGAGATGTTACTACAGTACACTGCACAGGTCATGGACGATATGACAAAGGTACATTTATTCTTTGGTAATGCAGGTATTCTGTGTTTTCTGTGCTTGTGACCTATTCAGCAAAATTTTTTATCAGGGATTGTAGAATTATTGCCAAACTACATGTATAGTAACCACATTTACCCTCAACATCTTTATTGTTTTTGAAGAACAACACAGTGAACAGGCAGAGTTACTTGCTTGCTGGTGAACATCGTTGTGTATTTTGCAGCTAAAGATATTTTTCTCAGGAATTGACAGACAGCTGATATTAAAATGAGATAATACTGTCCTAGAATATATCAGGTTGCTTGAAAAATGTCAGCGCTTGCCGTGTTTACAACTTGTTCCATTTCCCCAAGTGGCTAAAAATCAATTAAGGCAACTTTATTAGCAAGATAAGCAACTTAAAGACATTTAAATAGACCTTTAATTAGCTGAGCAATAAACACTACAAAGTAGACAGTTAGAAAACTAATGAATGAACAGCTCTCATGGTTTATGTGAAGCTCTTTGTCCTACATTTATTTTAAGGATGGACTATAAAATAAAACCTTTGCTGACTGATGTGTGAAACAAAAGCTGACATTATGAACTTCATCAAATTGCTATTAGACTAATAATAAAACTCCATTCAAGGACGAGACCCTCTTTGGAAATCTGAACAAACACCGTTTTGTTTTTGAATTAGTCTGTGTAACCTATGACACGTGTAGCACTGAGCTGCTGTCATCGTGTGGCAACAGTTAAAAGTAAGAAGAATGAAAGAAAGCAGTTTGTTTACGTATGTGTGTGTTGCCTCAGGATGTGTACAGGCCAGCTTTGAAGTGCAGTTACAAGGAGTGAGAGTGGAATACAATATACTGAATATGCAAAATGTGTAAATGACTTCTGTGTGTTCATGTCTGTTTGTGTGTTTATCACAAACCTCTCCACCCCAATGTGAATCTTGCCTCCATGCATGCCGTGGAAGAAACCCTGCATAAGTGTGGCCCACTGCAACGCAAAGGCTGCAATGAGGAAGTTGAATCCCACGCTGCTGAAGCCGTAGCGCTGCAGGAAGGTCATGAGGAAGCCGAAACCGATGAAGATCATCACATGCACGTCCTGGAAACCTGCACGTTGTAGAAAACACGAGTTAAACTTTAGGAGCTCATGAACCCGAAAGACCAAAACTAGATCTGAGTTGTTACGGCCTTTAGGCAAGACTTTAAACTGGTTTAACGCCTGCTGATAAGACAGCAACTTTTGCAAATAAATCCTTGTGGATTTACACTTTGTAGGTTCAATTCGAGTTCCACAAGAATCACATCTGGATCCACTGCTTTACAGGTTTAAAAACAAAAACCTCCAGGGTTCAACTGTGAGTTCAGTGTTAAGTTTCTTTGCTATGCAGATGACACCAAACTCTCTTTGGGTGTTGAACCTGGATGTCTCAGCCCTAAAAGCTGCTTAAAAAACTGCATTTACAAACATGAGTGATCAAAAATGTAATACACAATTTTGGCTAATTACTCCTCAGACAATAAAAGAGGAAAAAATAATAATTTTGTTAACTGTTTGAAACAATGGCTTGTAAAATGTCAGAAAATTGTGTCAGTGGACAAAATACAACAAAAGTGGGGAAAAGCAGTAAATGAGAAGCTAAAATCTAAGAATTTATTGTTTCAGCGTATTAAATATAATTTGTAAAAATCATTTACATGCTACACAATTGTAATTAATTATGATATTAAATAATAACAGCAGTTCTTTAGTCTTGTTAAAGTGGTAGTGCTACTTCTGTAAGTTTTCCTCCCGCTCTGCATTGATTAGTAACTTTTTGAGGATTTTGTTCTTTTTTGTTGTTGTTGTATTTATCTTTGTTAGATAGTGTATATGGCTGCAAGGTGGCTCGGTGGTTAGCATCGTCGCCAGTCAAGAAGGTGGCCAGTTCACCTGGGATCTTTCTGCATGGAGTCTACATGTTCTCCTCGTGCAGCGTGGGTTCTTTTCGGGTTAACCACAATCCAAAAACATGTTGAGGTTAATTGGTGATTCTAAATTGTCTGTAGGTGTGAATATGAGTGTGCTTGGTTGTCTGTCTCTAAGTGTAGCCCTGTGATAGACTGGTGACTTGTCCAGGTGTCCCCTGCCTTCACCCTGAGTCAGCTGGGATAGACTCCAGCCCCCCATGACCCCAGTGGGGATTAAGCGGTGTATAGATAATGGATGGATAGACAGTCTATAGACAAATCAGACCGTTGCTTCCATGTGCTATGTACATGTGCTAACCACCTCTCCGTTTTTATTTAAACTTAAACTTAGACAACAAACTTAATGGCAAAAAAAGTTTATAGATAATAAATAAATGCTTACAGGTGACATTAAAATTTTTCTTTTGTTCCCTGTCAGTTAAACCTCTAGCGGTAGTTCACTATGTGCTGACAGCACTTAGGGAGGATGCCAGTAATTTAGATCAACCTCAAATGTTCTCCTCAAGAGCCTCTGTCAACAAAAGCACCCACTCACTGCCCACAACTGTGTCACTTGAGGGCTTTGTCATTAAAATCAGGCTTTCTCTCTGAATGAGCAGTTACATAAGCTTTGGTAAACTGGGACATCAGGTTCACTTGTGTGTCCGTCCTGTACAGTGGGACTCACGTAAAGCGGTTTTCCGTAAAGACATTCATACTTGGAAACTCATTGCTTCGTAAGTTATTATTTAAAGTTGCATTTTTAACGCAGTTGGTTCGCTCTGTTCACACACTTTCACCTCATGTAGCAGCGATTGATTATCGGTCCATTCTGGATCTAAACTCTCTGAACTTGCACCCCGATGCTTCCTCTTGGTTCACACAGTTTGAGAGCATTGCTTTCTAACTCTCATTATTTGTCCCAAACTGCCATGCACAATATTGCACTGTGCCCTGGCTGCGGTCGCCATGGTGACAGTTAATTGGCATGGCCACGCGGAGGTGTTGCCAGCGTCCCCGTTGGCATTTTGGCCCAGATACGCGCGGTTCCCAGTGGCCCAGGAGGACATCATACAATAAAAGCAATAACAGGCTCTGTGGGGTAGATTTAGAGTCTGACTGTCATCAGATTTCAGTAATAATAATTTAAGCAACCATACGCCTTAAATTTCACCACAGTGAGTTGATGTCGCAAGATTGAGTTATTTCATTACCATCAGTTAAACAGGAAAGTGGAAGAGCATTTAAACCAATATGTGGCAATAAAACTCAGCAGATAAAAACAAATAGAGTATGGGTTAGGTATTTTACTGCCTCCTAAAATTACCTTAATCAACCTGTTTTTTGTTTTTTCGCAAATTATTTGTTTTTTTTTTTCTTTAGTCTACCTGTCGACACATTGACAAATATATTTCTACTCAGACAGAAGCAGCAATTTCTTAATTACTAGCAATTTAAAAGGAATGTTTTTTTTCCGCTGTAGGCAACAATGTTTAACCTGTGACCTCTCAGACAGCCACAGGACAGCCTCTTTCATCACCGCTTTGTTCACCTTCAGGTGATCTGTTGTGCAAGAGGGAGGCTCGCGAGGCATATTGTCAGCAGACATACCATCATTATCTCACAGGAGGGCATAGAACCGACATTACCTGGATTGCAAGACCACCAACAGTGGATTTACAATCTGCACAGTCTCCTGCTTGTGTCAAAAAGAGAGCGAGAGAAAAAAAGGATTTACGTGTCCAGTAGAGTGTGAACTTGTCTGTTTATTGTACAGTTTTTTTTCGGGCATGCAATCAGGATGGAGATGAAGGTTGTGTACACTTCTGTGAGAGATGAAGGTGAACTCCTGGTTCAGCTCTTGTGACAATAAAGGTGTGGGGTTAAACATTATCTGACACCATTAAATCTAACAGCTCTTTACTCTCTGCCTTTATTTTTCTAATCTTGGACAGCCGTCAGTGGTTTAAAGCAGTGGAGGAGAGACAATTTGCCTTTTGTTCAAAGCTTTAAAACAACATCCTGACTGCTTTTCATCATGTGGCTGTGCAAAAGCAAATGTCTGTTTGTTAGAAATAAAGGTGGGAGTATTGTGATGTTTTTGTCTCTCTCATATGATCTCAGACAGGTGGCTGGGTTGGATGGTTCAGGGAGTAAAATGCTGGACTCTGACACAAGGACCTGCTGTTCACATCCTGTGTCTCATACTGTATGGGTCCATTTAGAGGACGGGCAATCTATTTTGTCATTTAGGTTAAAGATACTGTTGGTTAAGAATGAATCCTGTTAATGATTCTCACAAGGAAATTCAACCAAGTGCACTAATGACAGAAAAAAAAGCAAGACAGAGTCTGCAGCCAGTCTAACGACTCCAAGAAGCCGTACTTTTGCTGAATGCTGACATCGGCACGCCAGCACACAGAGACCATACCAACATACCGATGCAATCATGTCCTTAGTTTACCATTTTAGCATGCTAACGTTTGCTGATTAGGATTTAACACAAAGGACAGCTAATGCTGATTCCTATCTGTTTGCAAATGTGATTAGTTTGTAGGTATTTGGTCATAAATCAAAGTAAAGAACAAATAAACTCTTTGACCTGGAGATGCTGCTCAATGAGGGTCAGCAAAGTTATTATCCTGAGGGGAACATCAATGTCTCCACAAAATGCCAACCTGCTGGTGGCGCTGGAGGAGAAGTCAAGAGGTCACTTCTCGTGAGCTGCAAAAACTTGAGTGTCTGTGCAAAACGTCTGCGTTTCATTCCACAGATATTGACTGTTTCCATGTGGAGTTAAGGGGTGGCCCAACCCGACATTAGCCTTCCTATTAGCTGTGTTATGAGAGGACTGATGATGCATTTTGATCTGCAACATGTGATTAAGATTTCTGATGTAAAATTTAGACAGTTTCTTGGCCAGAAGACTTTGTGTAGCAGTTCACAGGGGACTTATCGTGCAGGTTGCAGGTCTAAATGCAGGCTCATTTGACCATTTTGGCTTTTATGTGTTGATGCATTTGCTGCATTTTAGGCCTTTTAAACAACCAAAGCTGTTAGTTTTGCACTTAGACATCATGATTATATCACGTTAGGTTATGCATTATGCTGTATTTCATTTGCAGTTGCAGTTTCAGAGACCTTTTTAGCTTCATTAGAAAACATTTAAGTGAAAGAATGATGCTGAAAAGAACTGCATAAATACTGACAGATGCAGATGTGTGTGTGCAATACCCTGCACGTAAGCTCAGCCTGAGCTCAGCTTAGTTACTCACAGGTGAAAAGTTCAGTGACTGACAGGAAGAAGGCAGGAACAACGCTACAGTTAGAGATTTAAACTGTGTTAAGTAAGAAAAGAGCGCTCATCTCTCTACATTCCCATCGTTCTTTGCTTTGCCCGCAGGACAGCACACACCTGAGAACGAGAGAGACGCCGATAGGGAAAGCACTGACGGTGTGTGACTTGTTAAGACGCGCCCACCGGCCCTCGGTCAGGTTAGTTAAGGTTTGTTAAGGTGGAGCTGCATCGTCGGACAAGCGGCTCAGTGGCTGAAAGAGCAAAACTTGAAGTTTCTGTTTGATTTTTGCAGAAATGGAAGTGCTGTTTAATTGTGATATGACACAAAACCTGATTATTGTATCAAAAAATCTAGATATATGTATGTATATATGATCTAGATATGCAAACACTTGTTTATTTAAATTGCTTTAAGTTATTGGACCCTGAGGAAACGCTCTTTCATCTTGCCTGTACTACTGTGTATGTACAGCAAAATGACAATAAACTATTTGATTTGAAAAAGAAAAAAAAAAGATGGAGGAAGTGCAGTTCTTTTCTATCACATCAGCTGTTGCATATTTGTAGTTGCAAAGATAGCATTTAAAGGACAGGGCTATAGTCTTTTTTAGTCTGACACTTAGGCCTGAATGTCAAACTGACATGCTTAAAAACAACTTTAAGTTTTGTGTACACAGTTTGTAACTTGATTTTTTTTCTATGAATGCAGTAATGAGCATGGTACAGAAAAAAAAACAGACAGAAGGCGTCTTTCTACACCATCAATTCATATAAATCAGGAAACTAATGACGAGCGAGGCCAATGGATCAGCTTCTATGGGACAGCAGCGGACTGGAAGACAACTCCATGAAATGTCCACTCACACAAAGAATAGGACTCATCCAATTAGGGGGGAAGAGAGCTGCTGTGATGCAACTCAGCAGTTTCTTGTCCTTTTTACACAGAACACAACACTTCAGAGACAAGATGACGGTGTTAATGTGCTGACAAAAGAACAGGTTGCGTGCAGGCTCTGCATACTTACAAGTGTGTGAAAATCACTGAGGGAGCGTGTAGGAAAGAGCAAGATTTCAGTGTTAGTGAGTTATTTTCAGTAGGATTAGAAAGACAAACAGTCTGCAGTGCTAGGAAAGGGATGCACATTTTGGAAAGGCCACACCCCAACAACAACAACAACAGGCAATAAAAACAGCAAAATTACTACTTTACTTTAATATTTGGTCCTTTGCATTGTGGTGAGCTAGATAGTCATAAATTCAAGCTTTGTAGTTAAAAAACTTAAAATTTATAATGAGGAACTACTGACTCAAACACAACATGTTTACTTAAGGACTGAAGTCTTCATGTTAGAATTCAATAAAATTCAGAATTTTCAACATGTTTTTACACATTTTGTTCTCCTATTCTTAATTCTACCATACTCTGAATGTCCTAAAAAGAAAGGTCAGAGTAGAATGGCATGATGGGAGTTGTAGTTACTGACTAGCATCCTCCAATTAGGATGCAACTGATTCTAAAATTAATAGATTAGTTGCACTGTGGAAAATTAAATTTAACTATTTTAAAATTTTCATCATATTAAGCAGCATCCACACGTACGTCTGGAGTCTTGCTAGATTTATCTTCTAGGTGCTTAAATTTAAAGCGCATCTTGACCTCTGACCCCGACTGCGACCTTAAACCTCCAGACAATCGCAGGACACTCACTTGGGTAGCGGTAGTAGAAGTCATTCTCATAGTCGGAGTGGTTCAGTTTATGCCACTCCCTTGCGTCTGTCTCCTTGTCGTACTGCACCAGCACGCCGAAGAGGATGATGAGGATGATCTCCAGGATGAAGCAGGTGATCGGCAGCTTCAGCCGCATGTTGGTTGCCGAGTCGGTCATGTTTTCTCTCCCGGTGAGACGAGGAGCGGAGGCTCAGTGAGGCTTGATGAGAGGGAGTAAAGATCCAGGACAGAAAGTTGGACACACTCTGTCTCTCTCACACACACACAGGGGTGTCCTCAGTGCAGAGACAAGAGGCTGGTGTGTGTCTGTGTGTGTGTGTGTGGGTGTGTGTGTGTGTGGAAGAACAAGCTCACAGACAACACAGGAGAAGGTCTTACATGTGTGTTTTTGTGCTGGTGGGTCACACCTACCGGGCCTAATAAGGCAGGGTCACTACAAGCCCCGCCTCCTCCTACTGTACTTTTTAAGGTGGGCTGAGGTTCTTCAACTCACCTTGCAAGTTGAGTTTACTTTTTAAACTACATCTTTGGTTTGAATCTTATGTCTTCTGCACTGCAAAGACAAAAGTATGGAATGTAAAGTGTACTTCTTGCATTTTTCATTCTAAAAAAGCAAGAAAAAAAATTCCCTACATATACAGCTGCGCTTTCTATCAGATGCTAGAAAGATAAACTATTTGTTAGCATACAAAAAAGTACAGCCCCCATGAACATGTATCCACCAACTACTTACAACATTAAAATTTAGTCCACAAATTTCATTTTCTTTTCCAAGATTTTCCTTGTAATCTCTGCTGTCGAACACTTTGACTGTTCAGTCTACTCCGCTGCCCTCGCTTCTTATTGTACCCTCATTCTGTCTGGTCATTTTTAACCCATGCTTGTCTGGATAGTACAGGAAACAAAAATATTAGATTGTATTTGAACAAAACTACAGTCACAGTGGCTCAGTGAGAAGCCCAGGGGCCTGAGGGCAGCGAGCACACTCAGGATGTTATGAATATTGATGAATACTGCAATTCATCCTGGGGTGATGAAAGAATGCCAAAAATACCTTTGAGTGAAGTCATCTAGCATTGATTTCTACGCATTACAAATATCTCTGTAAGTTTGAATGACTTTTCTTTTTCCTACTATTGGAGTTGTTATTGTTTGACAAACCTACTGATGACATGCTGATCACAACATGTCAGTAGCTCATGACCTGTTTCCTGTCAAGCACTGAAGTCTGTGGCTGAAAATGAAGCCAAAAACTGCAGTTCAGTGAATGGCCACTTGAGGCTGCCTCTGAGAGTGAGTCACTCTCTATAGACCACCATGTTAAAAAGTCCAAACATATGGCTGAAATAAACACGTTTAAAGCCTGATACAAACAACAGTTTTGGTCTCTATGACTAATTCTTCCATTTGTGGCAACTGTACAGAGGGTGAATTTTTATTTAACACTCCCATCTCAAATGTATTAAGACTTAAAATTATGCACAATTAAGGGTGTGGCTGCTTTGAAGACAGGTGGGTTTGTCACAGGACAGTAAATGGCCCAAACACGTTAGCATGGTTCACCTCAGCTCAGCCCTCGCTCTACCTGGAGGCACTGCCAGGATGGCAAAGTCACAACACTGAGCTGCAAAAGTGCTGTTTAGGAAACCTGTAGGTGATGTCAGAGAGGGTTCATCCATCTTCATATACAGTCTATGGCTCCTAATCAGCTGAACGTATTCTTGCTGTTTATCATATTGCTTTCCAAGTGGTG